CATCTTTGTTGGTATGTGGTGCTGAGGATCGAACCCGGGCCGCACGCATGCCAGGCGAGCGCGCTACCGCTTGAGCCACATCCCCAGCCCCTACAAAAGTGATTAAACATAACAAAGCTAAGGGGGAAGAGAGTGAAATGAGACCAAATTACTAATATCAGAACAAAAAATTAGATTGTTTTACTTGTTTCAGAAAAAGTTTCAGGGGCTGGAGTTGTGGCTCAGCGGTAGTGCACTTGCCTGGCATTGTATGAGGCCTTGGGTTCTATCCTCAGCATGGCATATAAATATATACATACATACATAAAATAAAAGATCCATTTACAACTAAAAAAAATATTTAAAAAAGTTTCACACATATGAGAATTTAAATGAATGAAAAAATTCTTTGAAAAACACAACTTACCAAAAGTGACCTAAGAAGAAATAGGAAATAGATTATAAATAAATTAATAGATTTATGCTGATCAATTAAATTGAATCAGAAATTAAAAGTTTTATGGCTGGGGTTGTGGCTCAGTGGTAGTGTGTAGTGTGCTTGCCTAACATGTGCAAGGGCCTGGGTTCGATCCTCAGCACCACATAAAAATAAATAAATAAATAAATAATAAAGGAATTGTGTCCAACTACAATTAAAAAAAGAAAAAGAAGGGGGGCTGGGGATGTGGCTCAAGCGGTGGCGCGCTCGCCTGGCATGCGTGTGGCCCGGGTTCGATCCTCAGCAGCACCACATACCAACAAAGATGTTGTGTCCGCCAAGAACTAAGAAAAAGTAAATGGATGTTAAAATTCTCTCTCTCTCTCTCTGTCCCCCTCTCTCTCTCACTCTCTCTTAAAAAAAAAAAAAAAAAAGAAAGAAAAAGAAATTAAAAGTCTTCTCACAGAAAAGACCCACCAGGGAATTTTTTTACAAAATTTTAAGGGAAAATAACACCAATTTTATATAAACTCTTTCGGAGAATAGAAAAAGAAGAAAAATATTTCAACCTGCTCTGTGACACAAGTCCCAGAAAAAATGGTTAAAAAAATAAGGGCAATCTCTCTCAGGAATTTAGATGTAAAAGTCCTATTAGCAAATAGGACTTTTTTTTAATATATAACTTAGAATTATATAAAAAGGATAATATATCAAACCAATTAGGTTTATTCCGAGAAAGTACAGGTTATTCTCAAACATCAATTAGTGTATTTCACACATTAATAAAGGACAAAGCTGAGGTTGTGGCTCAGTGGCAGAGCGCTTGCCTAGCATGTGTGAGGCACTGGGTTCAATCCTCAGCAGCACCACATAAAAATAAATAAATAAATAGAAGTATCCTGTCCACCTACAACAAAAAATATTTTTTAAAAAAGGACAAATTCATAGGACCACCTTAATATATATAGTAGAAAAAACTCATGAAATTAAAAACTTGATCATGATTAAAACAGCAAATTAGAAATACAGAATATTTATTTAATTTGATAAAAGGTACAGATTTAAAGCAAAAAGATTGACCCCATGACTCTATTCAACATAGCAGAGATTGCAGCCAGTGGATTAGGCAAGAAAAACAAAAGTTCCAAGGATTAGAAAGGAAAAAAATAAAACTAAGTGTTTGCATATGACATAATTCCAAATGTAGAAATTCTCCAAACTATAAAGAAAAACTATTAGAATATGTGGATTTAGCAAAGTTGCCATATATAAGATCAGATGTATTTCTATATAATACAACTAGGAATAAAACTTCTAAAAGATAATACCATGTATCAGGGTCATCAAAAGTGTATTTTATGGGTGAAACCCAGCCAGGTGCTTGATTTATAAATAAAGTTTCACTGGCTAACACCACACCCATTTTTCATATTGTCTTTCATGCTACAACAGCAGAGCTAAGCAGCTGCCATAGAGATCATATGGCTCACAAAACCTAAAATACCTGGCCCTACACAAGAAAATTCTGCTGATCCCTGCAAATACATAAGGTTTAAAACCTCTACACATAAAACTATACATTAGTGAGAAAAGTCAACTAAAATTAAATGGAAAGATATACCATGTACACTGACTGGAAGATGAAGTACTGTAAAGAGGCAAGTTCTCCCCAAATTGATCTATAGATTCAGTATCATTACAATAAAAATGAAGAGGTTCATTTTTGAAAGTGACAATCAATTCTCAAATTTACGGAGAATCCCAGGAGTCAAGAGGAGACAAGATAATTCTCAAGAGAACATGTACTATGGGTATCAACACTTATAGCAAATAAACCTCTGGCTGGGGCAATGATGAACAAATAGAATATAACAGGCCATGAGAAGTCTTTTCATTTTTCTTTTCTTTCTTTTTTTTTTTTTTTTGCATTACTTCCAGGTTTCTGTTCGAGACTATAAAGGCTCAGGGGTTGCTCCAGTTAAATTGGGCTAATTGGGCTGTGCAAAATAACCACACAAGAGACACAAATACCTTTTTCTTTGGGGTCGCTGTGATGGCTCCTCTGATCTTAAGGGTCTGCAAGAAGAGAGAGAGTGAGAGCATGCGCTGACCCCTTTTATTGAGAAGCTATTCAAATGAGGCAAGGGTTCAGATTTCAGGGGGCTCTATCTTCATGATGTCCACTGTCAGCAGGTTGACTGACACCTGGGTAGGCCATACCCAAGGGCACAGTAAGATAAGGGGACACACACAAGGCATTTCCATGGAAGATTCTATCCTAAACAGGGCAGGGGTTATATTACAAAGGAACAGGTGAGCATAGCTTTACCCATGGGCTGTAGCAAGACACACCCATGCACAAGAGACACCAACTCTCAAACCCAAGAAGGGTGGGGAAAGCTCTGCCACATTTCTGAGACTTGAGTGCCTCAGCACCCAGCTGGGGAGTGTGAACCAGTCACATGCAAGGTTGGTCTCCCACACATTACAATTCTTATTACATGTATACAGCACAATTTTTCATATCTCTGGTTGTATATAAAGTATGTTGACACCAATTTGTGTCTTCATATTATGTACTTTGGATAATGATGTCTATCACATTCCACCATCCTTGCTAATCCCCTATCTCCTCCCTTTTCCTCCCACCCCTCTGCCCTATCTAGAGTTCATCTATTCCTCTCATGCTCCCCCACTTCCCTACCCTACTGTAAGAGAAGTTTTTTCAAGAAGTGTTGGATGAACTGGATATCCATATGGGGGGGGGGGACAAGAAAAGCAGCAGGATTCTACCACACAATGCACACAGAAATTTACTCTAAGTAGACTGTAATTCTAAAGCAAAAGAGGATATAATAAAGCTTAAAATAAAGAATATAGGGCTGGGGATGTGGCTCAAGCAGTAGCGCGCTCGCCTGGCGTGCGCTCGCCTGGCATGCATTTGCCTGGCATGCGTGTGGCCAGGATTCAATCCTCAACACCACATACAAAGATGCTGTGTCCGCCGAGAACTAAAAAAATATATATATTAAAAAAAATTCTCTCTCTTTAAAAATAAATAAATAAATAAATATAACAACAGAATATCATCTTGATCATAAGCTAGAAAAAAATTAAACAGTACACAAAAAGCACAAAACATAATTTCTGAACTGAATTTCATTAAACAGAGAATGTATTTTCATCCTGAGACACCATGACAAGAGTAAAAAGGCAAGCCACAGTGCAAGGGAAAATTCTAACATATATACTCAAAGAAGAACTCATATCCAAAATATGTAAAGACTTCTATATTTAATAACAACAAATAAAAATGTACATAAGCCTGAAAAAGCACACTTCACAACGGAAGATTTTTAGTGGTCAATTGTACCTTAGTATCCAAAGTGGACTGGTTCTAAGACCCCCTGTGGATACCCAAATCTACGGATGCTTAAGTCCCTTCATAAAATGTCATAGTATATGCATATAATGTACAAACTTCCTGCCATGCTTTAAATCACCTCTAGATTACTTATAATACTTAATATGACAAATATGCAACATTATATAACAGTTATTATACTGTATCATTTAGAGAATACCATAATGGCAAGAAAAGTCTGACTGGGCAGAGTGGCATATGCTGTAATCCCAGTGACTTGGAAGGCTGAAGCAGGAGGTTCACAGTTTGAGGCCACCCTCAACAACTCAGTAACTTAGAGAGATCCTGTCACAAAATAAAAAATAAAAATGGCTGGGAACATAGCTCAGTGGTAAAATACCCCTGGGTTCAATCCCTACCACCCTCCACCAAAAAAAAAAAAAAAAAAAAAAAATGTGTGCACATGTTCAGTACGGATGCAATTTTTTTTCTTGAACATTTGTGATCCATCATGGCTGGGTGAATCCATGAATGTGGAACACATGGATACAGAGGACTCTCTATATTTAAAATCATAAGTGATCAAGCAAATACAAATTAAATCCACAATGAGATACTCCCACCAGAATGACAGATTTTAAAACTGATAAAACCTATGGTAAAGATACAAAGCAACAGAAATCTTATAACACACTTGGAAATGTGAAACTGGCACAAGCGCTTTCAAATACTGGCAGAATACATGCCCTATGTCTCAGCAATTCTACGAGGTGTCACCTAACAGAAAAGTGTGTATTTTTATACTAAAGGAAAGGAGTGAGAATGTTCATGGCAACAATATTCATTATCATCCCAAAATGAAGCAACCCAAATGACCCATTCGGCATCAACAGAATAGGTGAACTGTCCTATATTCATAAAACAGGATTATTATATGGCAATAAAAAGAATTAACACTCATGCAAACAGAATAGATGAATCTCACAGACACAACATTTAGTAAAAGAAGTCAGACACAAAAGAGTTGATACTTTTTATAGAGTTCAAAAACAGGTAAAACCGGATATCAGTGACAGGAATCAGAATAGTGGCTACTTCAAAGAAAGATTAGGAAGAGGCAAAAGGGAGAATTCTGGGGTACTGACAAAGTTCTACACTTTTGAGCTGTGTGGTAGATAACTGGTTGTGTTCACTCTGTAAAATATTCATCCTACTTGTGCACTTTGTATAGTTTATTTTAATAAAAAAACAAAGGAGAGAAGGGAGTTAAGAAGAAAAATGCAAAGGGAGTTAAGAAAGGGGAGGGGAGAGAGGGATAGAGAAATGGCAAGAAAAAGATGAAAGCCATGTCATCCCAGGAGCATTCTGATGGTACCTGGGCAAGGAAGTTTGGTGTTTTGTGACATATACAGGATTAGAAAAGTAGAAGTCCTAGAAGAGACCCCAGCTAGCCTATACTACAGTAATCCTAGTGTCCAATTCTAGATAACATTTTACTACATATATGGAAAATACTTGAGCTATGGCAATGAAGGGAGTAAATATAAAGATACATAAAGGAAAAATTGACAGGTCTTGTCGACTGGATCTTGACTACAAAATAAATTGACAAGAGGGAAGAGTTGATGTTTCCTGTGAGGTTTTGAGTGTGAGTGACAGAAAGATGGCACTACTGACAGAAATAAAAATGACTCAAGTCTGCTGAGATTGGGGTAAGAGGCTTAGATGTCTGTAAGGGCAGGCTGGGGGAATGTTATAAAGAATGTGCCGGGCCCATCATAATTTCCTGACAACTGTAGTTGATAATCAGCTGTAACTAAAGATCTGACCATTTGAAGCATTAAAGACTGAAAACAATATGGTAAGATCACAATAAAACATAATATACAAATTTGTCAATACTTGGATTACTACTATTCTTTATACCCTAAAAAGTCTGCCAACATTACCCTTCTACTCACTCTGGCTTGCCGTTGCTTCACTTCAGCCCTTAGTTTATCTCGAATGTGCCTCAGTTGGTGAATCTTGGTTTCAAGAGCACTTTCCTCTGGTTGAGCTCTCTGCAGTTCTTCAGATTCTTTATGGGATTTGTTCGCCTGAGCCTCTAATCTTTCCAAGTGGGCTAAAACACCTAAGGAAAGTAAAAAGGGACTTTCACAAGACAAGGTCTTCTATTTCCACCAACAGCAAGCACTTCAAGAAGGAACAGAGGGTGTCTCTTTTTTCCAGAACTTTGTGGCCAGATGAATTGTTAGAGGATCTGACAACTAAAATCAAAGATCAACCTTTTGGGTTAGACACTGATATAAAAATAGTTCCTTACCAGGTCACTATTCAAAGAGAACAAGAGAGAGAATCTGATTTATCTATTTCATGTTTTCTAGCCAGCAGTATGTTATCTAGGTCTATATAATATCACAAAAGCACATCTCTTTGTGGAAAAGGATGCTTCAACAGTTTTACCAGTCTAGATGAAATCTCCCTTACACAAAGACTATAATTTTTAACTACCATACTTCATTTAATTAGGTTTCTGAAGTAGATCCAATATCTATGTTGTAGGGTTCATAAGCATATACACACATGAGAATCGTTGAGGGAGAAAGTCCAAAAACTTATCTCATTCATCTATCCAACAAAGACTAGACATCTTCCTAGGCTTCATGGTACATGCCTATAATTCCAGCTACTTGGAAGGGTGAGGTAGGAGGTTCGCAAGTTCAAGGCCAATCTCAGCAATTTATCAAGACTCGGTCTCAAAATAAAAAGGTGTGGGGATGTAGCTCAACGGTAGAGCACTTGCCTGGCATCTCAAGGACTTGAATTTGGTCCCCAAAACCAAAACAAAACAAAACAAAAAAACAATTAGACATCTAGACTCCCTGATTCCCTTATGGTTGGTATATATCCCACTGAAAAGAAAAACTAGCATGAGATACAAATAAAAATACAATACACAGAATAGCCATACTTCATTTGTATTTCTTACCATTACTTATTGACTCCTATCTCCTCGTTTTCTCAGGAGCCTCAAATTATATTATCCCTTTTCTCTGCTGTATCTATTTCCTCTCAATTGACTCATTCCACAGATCTCATCCCATAAGCAAAAAGGTGGTAAAATTACCAAGCAGAGGGCCCAAACCAGTATGGGTAACAGCTAAATGTTTAATTATTATTTGGGAAAGACAATAAAGAAATTATAGAATTACCCTTTGACTGGTCTAGGTGATGATCCAAAACTTCCATATCATCACTTATTATTTTTTTTATTTATATATGATAGCGGAATGCATTACAATTCTTTTTACACATATGAGCACAATTTTTCATATCTCTGGTTATATACAAAGTATATTCACACCAATTCATGTCTTCATACATGTACTTTGGATAATAATGATCATTATATTCCACCATCATTTCTAACTCCATACCCCCCTCCCTTCCCCTCCAACCCCTCTGCCCTATCTAGAGTTCCTCTATTCCTCCCATAATCCCTCTCCCTAAATCACTATGATTCAGCCTCCTTATATCAAAGAAAACATTTGGCATTTGGTTATTTGGGATTGGCTAACTTCACTTAGCATTATCTTCTCTAACTCCATCCATTTACCTGCAAATGGCATGGTTTTATTCTCTTTTTATTGCTGAGTAATATTCCATTGTGTATATATGCCAGTTTATCATCACTTATTTTGAAAGAAACAAAATTAGGCCTAGACTAGAGACTTCTAATTGTAGCATGTGTCACCAAACTTATTTTTAGTTTTGAAGTAACAATTAATCTTAACCCAAAGACTGTTTATTATCTAAAGTCTCAGCATAAGCTTTCTGAGCATGGCTTTCAGTCATCTATGATAGTAAGGACTCAGAGAAAAACAAGGATACTAAATTCACCTGGCTTTCTCAGAAACTGAATACTCCTTAAGAGTCACTCTTGAAGTTCTAAAAAATAGCACAGAACTAGAAAAGCACAATAACAAGAATTGCTCACAAATACTACTGGGTATTATAGAGGACAGTTAAAGCAACCTCACTTCTGGACAGAAACAGAGAGGCAAATTTCAGTATCCAAAAGACTAAGCACTCATGTATTAAAGTTCATTGTTTCATAATGGCAATCAACTCCAAAATAAAGTATTTGTTGAACATTGCTTACATATTAAGACGTTTGTGCTAGATGCTTTACTTATATAGCATGTAAAAAAGTATGTATATAACATCCACAACCAACACAACAATGCTACTATTCATCTCCATGTTCCAGATGAAGAAATTGAGGCAGAAAACTATACAGTTACTCACTCAAGGCCGCAAACTCTATAAAAGCAGAACCAGACATCAAACACAGGTCTAAGCAATATCCATTCACTGCCCCACACTGATTTCCCCTCAGAAGTAATGCATTAAAAACAAAACAAAACCAGTCTGGAACGAGATCTCACTGGCTACAGCTGCGACTCTGTATGTAAACACTGGTATATCATCGACGCAACCTATCAGTTTCAAAAGGAGGCGCCTAGAAACACCAAGTAATTCTTTTTCCTGTTCTTGGCTGCTGTTCTTTGGAGTCTTCGACGTTAGCTGCTTTCACCATTCTAACCCTAAGCAGGACTGCACACCCCAGTTACAGGAAGGAAAAGGCTTTCAGCCTGCGGGTTACCTGAGGCAGCAGCACTAAGGGGACAAAAGCGAATTTTAAATACCTCCTGTGGACACACCGTCTTGACATAAAGTGTGTGCGCGCTCCATCTCCGCCTCAAATTCCTGTTTTCCTTTGAAGTTTTCCAGTCAAGTCTAATGAAGTCCTTAATGATAGAAGAAAAACAGCAACAAAGTCAGACCCATGCCCATTTGGACTCGCCCTCTGGGCTCCGAGAAAACCCACTAGTCCCCGCGGGACTCACCTCCCCGCCCCCAGGGCGCAGCCCCGCAGGCCCAGCCCGGGAGCTTTTTAAAGCCCACACCCTAGTTACCTGCCAGGGGGTCCACAGGCCTTCCATTCACCTTCCTCTCTTCCACACCAAAGTCTGGGAATAGAATTCCCGCCGTCCCGCCTTCAAACCAGCGTCAGTCCCAGCGTGCTTTGCGCTCCTTCCGTACAAAAACATGGCAGCGCTCAGGACCCCTCCCTGATCCCAGGATGCACCGGGGAACAGGCCTGGCCGCTCAGGTTGGTAGGAAGATGGCGTCCTCTGGGGCGGAGCCGCAGATCCTGGTACAATACTTGGTGCTTCGAAAAGATCTATCGCAGGCTCCGTTCTCTTGGCCAGCGGGCGCACTGGTAGCGCAGGCTTGTCATGCAGCTACCGCAGCATTACACCTTCACCGCGACCACCCGCACACCACGGCTTACCTTCGCGAGCTGGGGCGCATGCGTAAAGTAGTTCTCGAGGTGAGGCACCCAGGCCAAGGGAGGGACTTTGAGGACGCCGAGACCGGAAGTGGGTGTGGTCTTGAGGCCTAACTGTGGGGTAGGTGTGGTCTGAGTGCGGAGGAATTTCTAACTTTTAGACTTTGGAAAAGGTTTTGGGACTTAGGTTGTTACACGAGGAGCTCTCTCTTGCACCTTCACATCCTCTGGTTTGTGAAGAGTGGACATCGCGCTCGTTAGTAAGGACGGCTCGGCACCCTTCTGGTGTCACCGGAAATTGGTGGGGCCTGCGGAAACGCCTCCAAGGGCGGAGAATGGCGGAGCGAGTCCTTTCCTGCCAACTCGTGCATTCGCCTTTCTGCGTCCGCACTGGCCAGCCTTGTATAGCTGTCCTCAGATGTAATGCCGCCTAGGTAAACCAACTCAGAAGAGATGTGGACACAACATTTCCTTTTCGCTTTGGATACAGAAGTAAAGTGAAGTGTGCATTTACCTAGGTGTGACACCACACTATTTGTAAATAGATGTTTGAATAGCATCAGTTGAGCCTAGCATCGGAAATACCAGACACCGAGGGTGTAAATCCGCACACCTTGAAGAACAGCGGTAAGGTCTAGATGGCCAAACAGATCTTAATTACCCTTTAACTCGCAGTTCTGCTGGAAGTCCTGTATCTCTTAAAAAAAAAAAAAAAATCAGGTGCAACCAAATAGCTTTGAGCAGATTTTTTTTTTTTTAGGATTATACATTCCCTGATTTATTCAATAGTTTTTAGTACCTTATTGTGGGCTAATTAAAATGCTGACAGAGATGTAAACAGGAATACATGAAGCGTTTTTCTTGTCTTCTAGAAGTCATTCTATGATCTTCAAGTCACTGCCTCTTCCCCCAAACCAGTTTTACCCAGAATTTTCACTCTCATTTAATGACCACTTCATCTATCTTTCAAGTATTCGGTTCAAAACCTTGAAATTACCAATGTTGACACATTTTTCTCCCATACCTTATATCCGACTACTCAGAAATCATGTTTCTTCTAATTTCAGATTATAATAGAATCTGACAATTTCTTATCATCTCTGCTATAGTTTGCGCTTCCTTAAATGTCCCCTAACAGTCTCTGCATTAAAGGTTTGGTCCTGTTTTGTGTACTGGGAGATAGTAGAAACTTTAAGGGACAGGACCTCATGGGAGCCTTTAGGTCATGGGGATGTGCCCTTAAAGGGGATACTGAGACCGGGACACCTCCTCTTCCTAATTTTTACTTCCTGATCACCATGAAGTGAGCAGCTTTCCCTGCTACATTCTCCTCACCATAAGCAATAGGGTAAATTGGCCATGGACTGAAACTTCCAAAACTATAAGCCAAAGTAAATCTTTCCTCTTTTTAAGGTGATTATCTCAGTTATTTTGTGACAGTATATTCTAATACTCTAGTCCACAATTCCTTCATTTTCTCCCTTTGCTATCAATGCAGTCTCCTTTCTGACCCTTTTAACTTCATCTGTATCTCTTTATACATAATTTTCAACGTGGCATATTTCAGCTTTGTGGCCTTTGTATTTGTTCTTCTCTTGGTCCAGAATGTTATTCCCCTAAATATTCTTAGAGCTTTGAGCAGAGATTTTCAAAGGAGCACTTTGTACTGGTGAAAAATGTAGAAATAATAAGTTTCTAGTGCTAGACTTGGTTAATTTGTGCCCTTATAAAGTATTATTATATAAATAGCTGAAATCATGTTTGAAGTGTATTTAATGGCATATGAGTGCAATTGATATGAAGCTAGTTGAGCTATATTATATACACAGAATGATTTTAATTTTGAAAGGAAGTACATCTAAATATTCACTAGATGGTGGGATTTTGGTTATTTCCTTATATTTCTCTATATTTTTAAATTTTCTACATCAATATCTTGTAATGAGAAAAAAAAGGGGTTAAAAAAAAAAAGAACAGAACCCTGGAGTGGAGGGGTGGGATAGTTTCCTTCATGGATGGCTGACAAAGACAGTATCTTTCAAGAAAAAAGAGAGAGAGAGAAATAGGCTGTTAGGTAGTGAAGCAGCAAGCAGTTGTCTTTACAAAAATGTCTTGGAACTCTTGAGTACTCAGAAAAGAAGCAGACAGATTCTTTTCATTTAGATTCTTTTTTATACAAAGACGGCTTCCAGAAATCTGGTTCAAGACTCCCATTCCTCAGACAAGACATCTGAAGCCCAAAGGAAACTAATAGACATCTATTTGACGATTCCAAAGTTGTTAGCCATGAATAAAGAAATGGACTTAGGAGTCATTTCTGATTAAATTGTAGCGCTCCAGTTGCTTTAAGGACCAATGAAATATAAGCCAGTGTCAAGATTAAGTATATCTATTGGTGTTTATTATGTGCCAGTCACAGGTCTAAGCCTAATTTCACTGAATTCTCATTATCGCTAGGAAGCATTATCATCTTTTTTTCACAAAGGAGAAACAGAGGCCCTGCTGAGTCACATAACTTATTCAAGTTCACACAACCAATAGTTGGTAAAGCAAGAATTTGAAGTCCAGCAGTCTGATTCCAGAGACTTACCTATTATACTATGCTGCTTCCCAGAGCCACAAGGTGGGGAAGGGGAGGTGGCATTAGTGCCTCTAGCATGGCTTTACCTGAAGGACTTAGCCAGATGAGTGACAATCCTAGCATTCACTAACTTGATAAAAGAAGCCTCCAGTTATCTTAGTGACGTCTGCCTTCGTAGGCAAAAAATGTATCTTATGCATAATTACACACTAATTTTCTGAGTTATAGTTTTAATACTTCCTGCAATGGGATTCAGCATGGGATTTTTGAAGTGGGTGATAGGGATGACCCAGAAATAATTTTAGAAAGGTGTTAGAGAATAGTTTATTTTCCCTTTCATTAAAAAAAAAAAAAAGTGGGAGCTATCCCAGCAGAAGGAAAATTTCTAGGCTTTGGGCCTGGTGGGATTCCAGTAATTAGCTCTTAAAGTCCTAGCTGGCCAAAGAATTAGGGATGTCTGTTGTGAATACCAATTGTAGGGGAGCTAGAAAATGTATGGGGCATACTTAAAACATCTCAAGAGGAAAGAGAAAAATCTCCATTTTGTTAATAGGACTATTAGGTTTCTCCCTGCCTCTCACTTCCCCAGCCACTTATCTAAGTCCTGCAGACAGTGAATGGCAGTCCAGAGAATGAAACTCTTGCTCCAGTTTTAGTTAAGAGAAATACACACACACCGTTGTGTTTGTGGGCTTTTGACATTTTCTAAATGAGCTGCTCAATCTGTGCTATGTGTTCTGTTCTTTGTAGGCTCCAGATGAGACCACCCTAAAGGAGCTGGCTGAGACCCTGCAACAAAAGAACATTGACCACATGCTGTGGCTTGAGCAGCCAGAGAATATTGCCACTTGCATTGCACTCCGACCATACCCCAAAGAAGAAGTGAACCAGTATTTGAAAAAGTTCCGATTGTTCAAATGACTGCTGCTTTGATATGGTTGAATATCAACTGGGCCAGAAATAGAATTCCATTCATCCCTGAGCATCATGTACTCCTTTTACTCTCAGCTTACTCTTCAGTTGTGATTTCTTGAGAATCCCACACATGTTCGAATTAAAGTTGTCATTAATAAGTACTTCCTCCTATTATTAGCAAATAAGGAAAGTAGGTGAACAGCAATATTACCTATGGGCCATTGTCCAAATAGATTTAGTTTGACTCTGGTATAAGGAATTGAGGAAACTCACTCACTTTTTTGTTATGAATAATGGAGTTCCCCCCACCCTGCCCCTTACAGTAGAGGATTGAATCCAATGGCACTCTTAACACTGAGCTTTTTAAATTTTGAGACAGTGTCTCACTAAATTTCCCAGGCTGATCTCCAACTTGCAATCCTCTTGCCTCAGCTTCCAAGTAGCTGGGATTACTGTTGTATACTCCTGCATCTGACTTTGAGTTCTTCTAATTACCCAGATTTAAAACTTTGCCTTTGAATTCTTTATTTCTTATTCCTATCTATATTTATAATTTTAAGACAACATCAACTTTAAGAAGAGGCATTGTTTTATGTATTGTTAAGAAATGCTACCAATGGGGCACAGTGGTACATGCTTGTAATCCCAGCAGTTTGGGAGGTTGAGGCAGGTTGTAAGTTTTAGGCCAGCCTCAGGAACTTAACAAGATCTTGTCTCAAAATTTAAAAGATTTTAAAAAGGCTGGGGATGTAGCTCAGTAGTAGAGCATCCCTGGTTTCAGTACCCAGGACCCCCTACCCACCCAAAAAACAAGACGTGCAAATGACTTGTAAGATGTATTTCAATATCGAAAAAGTTTAAATACATACACACATACACACAAACATTTATTACATTTGGTGAAATTTGTCATGTACTATAGCTATTTTCTTATAATTCATGTGTTGCTACCACTCTGTATTAGGCTGTTTTACTTATGAGAGTGGCCCACTTATCTGACTACCTCCAGTGTATCTTGGTACCTGTTCAGTAGAGGCTACTGCATGGCCATGGAATAATGCTGGAACTCCTTAGTTTAGCCTTTAGATCTCCCTATTTATATTCCCCACCTTTTTTTTAGTTGAATATTCTCTTCCCTTATCTATACTCTGTGTTTCAACAGTTACTCTAGTTGCTCTTCTCCACTCTGTAGTCTGGGAATAGAATGTGATTGTTCTTCCCCTCCCTTTTCCACCTCTGGATTTCACTTAAATTATTTGCAGCTCAAGTGCTATCACCTTCCTGAAGTCCTATTCAGCCAAAAGTGATTGTTCTTTTCCCTATACACCTATAACACTGTATAATGTTTAAAATATTGATATAAACATTTGGACACATCTACAGAAATCGCTTGAACATCTATGAAGCAAAGTTCATAGGGTAATGTGTTCAACAGAAATGTTGCATACCTGCTGTGGCAGCTATACTAAGAGCTGAAAATATTAAATGAGTGTTTGAACCAGTTCCCCCTGAGATTGTTAACTTATAAAAGGCTTATTTCGGCTTACAGGTTTGAAAGTTCTAGTCCAAGACTGGCTGGATTTACTGCTTTGAAATTCTGGTGGAGGTACTAGATGCAAAGGTGGGGAACAAGTGGTGAAGCAAACTGGTTGCCTCATGACAGGAAGCAAGAGAATGAGGAGGTGGCTGGGGTCCCACGCTTCCCCTTTAAGGGCACACCCCAAATGACTTAAAGACCTCCCACTAGGCCCCATCTCTGAAAGGTTGGACCACATCCCATGGGGCCACCCTAGGGACTGAGCCTTTAACTTATAGACCTTTGAGGGCCACTTACACAAACCATAGCATGAAAAGAGTTATTGCCCTCAGGTAGCTAAGCATCTCATGTGAAGACAGATACAGATGATTACACAAAGAATTATATATCCCCTAGGTAATATTTTACTAGGATATTAGCTACAAAGATTTTCCTTTAAAAAAGTAGTCACCTGAGTGAATGAGGTCTCCCAGGGAGAACTAGTAGAGTGCCAAGGGCAGAGCCAACCCCAGGAGAGAGTGCTAAAAGTGACAAAATTTCATTAAATAGCAACTGAAAACTTAACAATTAGGAATGTATTAGCAAATTCAGTGAAAGCAGCTTAAATAGCATACTGAGGATGGAAATCAGATTGATCTGCTGAAGCAAGAATGGGAGGGGAGGTAAGACCTGGGGACTGTCCTTTTAAGAACTTTGAAAGGGAAGAGGATGATGATTAGGGACTGGGAAGGTGAATGTTAGGTCCCATCAGGGAATTTTCTTTGATGCTTGAGTAAGTTGGTAGGTAAAGAGAAGGGGGTTAAGGAAAGATGTTATGGTTTGGTTATGATGTGTCTCCTAACATCTCCTGTTAATGCAGTAATATTCAGAGATAAAATTATTAGATTAAGATAGCTATAACCTAATCACTTCATCCTGGTTTGAATGGGCTGACTGGTAGTAACTGTAGGTAGGTGGGGAGTGGCTGGAGGAAGTGGGTCACTGGGGCATGCCCCAGAAGGGTGCATCTTGTGGCCTGTTCCCCCTACCCTCTCTGCTTCCTGACCCTGCCATGAGTTCAGCCACTTTCCTCTATTGAGTCTTTTCCCCATGATGTGTTGCCTCACTTTGGGCCCAGAGAATTAGAGTCAGCTATCTTTGTACAGGGACACAGAAATTGTGAGCCCTAAATAAACTTCCTCCTCTCAGTTGTTCTTGTCAGATATTTTGGTCACAGTATGCAAAAGTTGACTTAAACAAGAGGAGAGATTACAGTTATTAAGTAAAATAATTGATAAAACAGGTCCGAAGATGCTGGGCTTAGTGTTTCACTCCTATAATCCCAGCAACTTGAGAGGCTGAGCCTTGTAAGTTTCTGGCTAGCCTCAGCAACTTAGGGAGGCCCTAAGCAACTTAGCAAAACCCTGTCTCAAAAATAAAATTTAAAAAAGGGCTTGGGGATGTGCTCAGTGTTTAAGCGTTTCTTGCTTCAATCTTTGGTACTGAAAAAAAAAATCCAGAGAAAGTGGTGAGAGGTGGGTCAAGGATATAGGGAAGAACTGGACTTGAATTGAGAAAGGGAAATTTTTTTCTGCAGGAAAGACAGTAGGGGAGGGCATAGAGGTTCATAAATTCATAGATTGGAGGAGGAAGAAAGTTGACATTGATCACACCTGTTGATTTTTTCCCTATGAATTGGGAGGCATATAATCCTTCATAACATTGAATATACTTACTGTGCAATGTATTAAATGGCTTACCATAGTGGGAGGAACACAGGCTGTTAAACTGCCTGAGTCCACATCTGTCTCCCATTCTTTCAAGTTCAATGAATTTGGGCAAACCACTCAACTTCCCTGAGCCCAATTTTCTCATCTGCAATATAGAGATTTATAGTAGAGCTGTGTGGATTAAATGGATTGATTTATGCAAATCCTGTGACAGTGCCAGGGCACTTGGTGCTACAGCCTAAATGCGTGAGACACCACCCCAAAGAGCCGCCCTCAAAGAGCTCTCAATCAAATAAGCCAGTTGTCTAATTCCCTTTTTGCTGTCTGGGAGTGTTGCCATCCACAGATCTTTAAGCATTCCCTGATATTTCCATTCAAGCCAATTAGGAAAATTTCCAATTGACACTGCATCTTTAAAAAAATTTGTTTTAAATTTGATAATTCTGACTTCTTCAGTAAAACAGTGATAAAAGAAAAGAGATGAGTGTCTGCACACATTTGGATAACTACTCAGGCAAATCCCTAAAGCAGGGATCTGAGCACAAATGCCATAAACTTCTGCTAACGTGGGGAAAGGTTGGCAGGCAGGTGAGTGAGAGAAAGGAAGAAGTAGGGAGCAACGGATTTTCTTATTACTATCAGCTTAGACTATTACTAGACCAATGGTCCTCAAATGGTGGTATGGTCCCTTGGATTAGCATCATTGATCTTGTTAGAAATGCCAACTCTCAGGTCCCACTGAAGACCCATTGAATCAGAAACTCTGCTACTACCTGGAAGAAGTTGAGCCCCCCAAGGTAACCAACCTAAAAGACAAACAATAAGTTTGTATAATTTGCTCATCAGAAGTGAAGAAATATGGACCTAAGTATACTATACATCTAACCATGGGCTAAGGTCACAAAAAGTGATATATTCTCCAGTAGAGAAAAGATGATACTGTAAGCCAGAAGATAGATGATATATCCTTGAAAAGAATCTCCTATGCTCTGGTAAGTTTCTTATATTTGAAAAACATTTTATAATTAACAAAGTGCTTCCATTCTACTCAATTCTGAGAATTGTGTGATGCATGCAGTCTTGTTTCAGAGTTTACAGATTTGGAAAAAACTTTGACTTGCCCAAGATCACAGTCAGTGGCAAAACTGGGATTAGAAACTAGGTCTTTTATCAGTTCAGTTTTCTTACCTTCTCACAGTTGGTTTCTAATTTGGTCTGCCCTCCACCCAGATACTAGTTTATAGGGTGGTTTGGAAAGGGGTCACTGGTAGTTCAAGCACAGGAAAGCTGTAGCTGTCATTTGAAACTGGTTAATTGACATTCTGGATTATAAATCAGCCTCCCTTGACTGTTAGTTGTGTGACTAGAGCCCCATTATCACTGGATGAGCTGACAGAATTGAGGTTCTGAATGTTGGAAGTCAGGATCCAAACTTAGGTCACGGTTCACTCACAGTGCTGACGGAATGCAGGGGCCTCCCCTACAGGGGCCTAGGAAAAGGCGCCTCTGTTAGACTACAAGGCTCTGAGATGGCGATTCCATCCTTTCAGTTCCTCAGGCCCCAAACCTAGGAGTCATTCTTATTCAAATATTCTCTCACATCCTACATCTAGTATATCAGTAAATATGGTTGTTTGTACCTTCAACATTATCCAAAATATATTCTGCTTCCTGGGTGAGAGTTTTAGTAATATGGAGCTATTGTTCCTGATGGGAAGGTGTTAGGAAAAATGGCTGAGAAGCATCACTCCTGGCTATAGGATCATTTTAGCTGTCCTCTGAGGTCAAGCTCAGTACAGCCCCAGATTCTCCCTTCTCTAAGATCTGGATGTGGTAGGTTTTAAATGCTGGCCTAAGGCTGGATTGTAGCTGTGGGGGTTTTGCAAGGGCCAAATAAGTAGTGCCCAAGTTCTGAACCGAGGGTTGTTTGTGTGTTTTGGGGCTTTATTTATTTATTTTGGTACTAGGGATTGAACCCAGGGCTTTTAATAACTCTCTCCTTTTGATACTCGTTAAATTGCTGAGGCTGATTTTGAACTTGCCATCCTCCTACCTCTGCCTTCCAAGTCACTGGGATTACAGGCATGTGCCACTGTGCCTGGCTGAACCTAGGTTTTGAGAAATGAGACAAAAAACAGAGAAACAAAACATCACTTTTATCATCAATTAGAAGTTATAGCTTTATGTGATGGCCCCAAAGAGCTTGCAAATTCCCTGTCCCAAGGGAAAGTGTTAGTATACAGAGCAGATACTCTCATAAAGTTGTGCTTCCTACTGGTCCTATGGATAAAGTAAGGGTAAAGAGAATAGATCCCCTACATTCAACCTATCAATCCTTGATAGACTGGTTCCACTCAATTGAGAAATATGAATCAGAAGGATTTATCCTTTTACCCTCCCTCAGGAAGGGGTAGGTGGAGCATCGATCTAAAGCATTATGTCAATTAAGCTCCCTCTGCAAAGGAACACAACATTGAAAGTGGGGATAAAGCATTTTATCTCTTTCCCAACAATGGATGTAAGGAATTCTGAAGAAGTGCACACAATAGAAGAGGACTGATCTTACAACATGTGCAAGATGTATTTGCTGGGAAGAGGAGGAAAGCTGGGACTGCAGTAAGGAGGTTACACGATGTAATC